CGCCGCTCAGCCCGCCCCGCCGCGCCGGATCCCGGCGGCGCAGACCCCGAAGGCTCCTGGTGCCGCCTCTGGGCGCGGGGAGAGCAGCCCGGCACTTGGGAACCGCCTCCTCCGTGCTTAGTGCCCCGGGAGGGCGGGTGCACAGGGGTCCACGTCCAGGGCTGGTGGCGCAGCCGTGGGTTCCGATCTAAGCTCTGCTCAGTCTCCACTGTATTTGCCTTGATAAAATAGTCGGGAAAACCTGACGCGTAGTGCGTGCCCTGTAAAAGGAGCTGCAGCATTAGCGTCGCACAGGCACAGCGCAGGGCTGCGGACACAGGCGAGAACAGATCTAGACAAATTGTTTCTTATATACTGGGAGGTATTCTTTTATATACCGGCTATGTGTAGTTATTAATGTTTAATTGTCATATTCTTTTTGCCTTTTTTTCATTTTGAGATTTAGTTAACAACCCATAAAGTTCAGTTTAAAACGCAGTGCTTTTAGTATATTGACTTGTATCTTATCATTATTACTAATTAATGACATAGAGGATACATCTAAAGATGAGGGGTTTTTGTTTTTGTGTTTTGAGACAGGGTCTTGCTACGTAGTTCAGGCTGGCCATGAACTATGTAGTTGCCGGTGGCCACGAACGCACTGCAATCCTCCTGCCTCAGCCTCCCAAGTGCTAAGAGTTACAGGCACCACCGTGGCCAGCCTCCCAAGTGCTAGAGTTAAGTGCACCACCGTCGCCTGCCAGAATTCATTTGAGACCCATTTATCAGTTGTTACCAATCAGCTGTATATCTCATATGGACTTAGAAATACAGCCAACTTTTGTCTCATGAAACAAAACAATAGTGTACCGCTGGCTTGACCTTTATTTTGGCCCACTTAACAAGATTAAATTATCCAGAAGGCAAAATTCAGGGTAATACTATTTCTAGGAGCCCTGATCAAACGTGATGTCTTAAGACATTTATGAAAGACACTGGTTGCTTTTGACTTGTGCTAAGGCAGGGAGTAGCAGTGGAATTAAGGGTTGTATTTCCAGTATTTACATTGAATATGTATGATCCTTGAAATTTGCTCAAGATGTCTTGAAATTTACTCATTAAAGTGAGAACCGAACTCGGGCATGGCGGTGCATGCCCATAATCCCAGCACCCAGGAAGCTGAGGCAGGAGGACACTACCAGTTCCAGGCCAGCCTGAACTACAAAGTGAGACTGTCTGAAAAGAACTCAATCAAGAGAACTGAAAAATGAACTCATAGGTGTGAGTTAACAAACTGGTGACCCTTCGTCATTTTCAGTAAGTACTTTTCATCATTTACCTTCCTTAACAGCACTGCATGGGCCGGGGATATAGCTTAGTGGCACAGCGCCTGCCTGGCAAGCGCAAGGTCATGAGTTCAACTCCCAGTACCAAAAAAAAAAAACCTGGTACCAGCACTGCGTAAGACTGGTAAGTCTAGTCACAGGGCCCAGGAAAGTTGTGTCACCCAGCAGGGACTGTGAATGCTCTGCCCTCAGGAGTTTCCAGATTAATAGAATTGAAAGCCTTTACAAAACATTCACTAGGTTCATCTTCTGTAGTGGACACCGTGCTTGGCTTGTGATGGTTTGGCTGGTCTTAGACCACTTCCTTCCCCCCTTTACTTCCCTTTCTCTCACAACCAGCGTTCCCTGACTAAGCTGTAGGCCTCCTCTCTTAAGAGTAGCCCTGCTTTAGATTCCCTCCAGGAGCTATCCATGTAGCTGGTCTTACCTAAATGAAAAGTGGCTAGGCATGGTAGCACACACCTGTAATCCCAGCACTTGGGAGGCTGAGGCAGGAAATTACTCCAAATTTGAGGTCAACCTGGACTACATCGTGAGTTCAAGGCCAGCCTAAACTATATAGCAAGACCCTGTCTCAAGAACAAACAAATCAAAATAAATAAATAAATATGAAAAAATGTGAAAATAAAGCCATGGAGATACTGGTTATCCTGGGAGACCTCCCTCATCTCTTGCACTACAGTCCCATTATATATCGAAAGGCATGAACACTATCATATCTTTGATAGAATAATCTCCACTCTGGGAATTTGTCCATAAAGAAGTAAGACTACAATAATATCCAGCAAAAGAGGACAAGAAAGTATGCAAAATCCATTCAGAGGTTTATTATGTAGACAAACTCTGGAAAACCTTTAGCAACAGTGAGGGACTGGCCAGATGTTAAAAATCAAGGTGCTAGGTTATAGCAGTATTACGGTTATACACAAGGAGAAAGACTAGAGGAAAACCCACTGGGCCCTGGCATAGAGCCGGGCAGAGTGTGTCCTTCATACAGGTTCAAGTCATCTGCAGTTTACTCTTTCAAATGAAGATATTTGATACTGGGCAATGTCATAGGGTTATTGTATGCATAAATGCGACACTGGGTGAAGGGCACTTGGCACTCACATAGTAATAACTCAAGTGTGAGTTGCCATAAGGGATGGAATAACTAAGGCTTTGTTCTTTTTTACATTTGTGCTTACAGATACACGTACATGCAGTTTCAAAGTCCAGTCTCATCAACTTAGTGTCTGTAGCCTGGACAAGTTACTTAACCTGTGTATCTCTTTGTTACTTAACCTGTGTATCTCTACTTAACCTGTGTTGCTTCTTTGTAAAATGGATTATCAGTAATGGTGAATGCTCCAGCTGTGCGGTTCAGCATGATACATAACTGTACCACTGAGAAGACTCATCTAAGGTTCTGTGTCCGCACAATTTAGGGTATTTTATGATGGACACATTTAACTATCTAAAACACTGGAAACACTAAGTATAAAAGTAATTTATAAGCCAAGTATAGTGGTACATGCCACTGGAAGGCTGCAGCCCAAAGATGGACCGTTCAAGCCCACCTGGGAAATTTAGTGACTGTGAGACCCTATCTCAAAATTTTTTTTAAAGAATTTTTAAAGGACCCAGGATACAGCTCAACGTGAAGACCCTGGGTTCAATCCAGGTATCACAAAGAAACCCAGTAATTATTAGGTAATCAACTATCTTATGTATGAATTTAAGGAACAGCTTTTCCTTTGAAAAGTATGAATAGCCGGGCATGGTAGTGCATACCTATAATCCCAGCACTCGGGGGGCTGAGGCAGGAGGATGGCCAAGAGTTTGAAGCCAGCCTGGACTATGTGGACAGTTCAAGACCAGCATGGAACATATAATAAGACCCTGTCTCAAAAAACCAAAAAGAAGATGAGGAAAGTATATATAAATTACAAGTTGTCCCTACTAAACTACACTAGAATGAACCTGAGGGCAGAAACAGTGTTTGCATTTTGCATCTCACTAAACCCACCCCAGTGCTAGAAGCATTTTAAGGTTCAACTAATGCATGCTGGATAGTTAATTGTGACTAAGTTTATGCTTTAGCATAGAACTGGTACATATATGAGCTTTAGTTACATTTACTTTTCGCTAACAACCACCTTACCTACAAACAACTGAAACCACTTTGAATTCTTTCAGTGAAAGCACAGATCGCAAACACCAAGGTATTTGACTTTATTTTCCATCAGTTATTACTTACAGGGTCACACTTAACATTTCTGGTTATTCTTCCCGTAACAGAACATTTTCCTGCTCAGCAACTCTGGAAGAGAAATTCCAAACAAACAAAACCAACCTTCACAGACAGACACAAGGAACCCAAAGTTTTCTAAAACTGTCATCTCAAAGTTCTGTTTCTGCCTTCTGTATAGTAACAAGTGTCATTCTGTTCACTAATTCTACCAGAATGTGTGTTCACATTTCAAACTGGATTACTCTTAAAATACTAGGTTATGTGCAAGTAGTAAAAATTCTCAATTTTAATATTTTTGCATTTGCTTATTACAGTACTAGTTAAAACACCAGTTTATAATTTTTTTAACCTGTTCAGTAGTCAGCAAATGCATGATTCCCTTAAATGGCTGAAGTTGCAGGTGAGCACTTCACTGGAGAAAATGCATGAGATTGTAGCACTAATTTCCGAAATGAAATATTGAAATTGCTTCTCTTTCCAACTTCTCCTTTTGGTCCATCACTATTCTGCATGTTCCTGTTCTTGTCCTGGAATTAGCCACCGAATGCTCTCAGTTCGAATGGTAGCATACATAATAAAGCTAATTAAAAAGAATAAGGAAAATACAAGCAACCAGTCCACACTTTTTATCAGAGTGCTGGGAAGAGGGCCTATTTGATCAGCTTGAGTTACCACCACATTTTTCTTGGCTTCTATACCTGGAAGAGAAATCAATTGTTTCAAGTTAGAGAGAAAATACATCTGCCCTAGATTTTTCCAAAGTATGACGCCCGATATGCAAAATGACATGCAATCCTAAAATAAACAGCATGATTAGTGTATCTGGGTTGGATTTCACCTGCTTGTCAGCGTAATTTGTAACTTGCCTTTCTTCCTACCACATCAAAGGACCAGGAATCCATTCAGCGGTTCAAAGCTAAAACTCCAGAATTTCTGTGGACTCATCAGAGCTTTCCTAGTCAATGCCTTGTAAGAATTGCCTTTTGTTTGCTTGAGCCCAGAGTTCAACAAGTAACTAGCAAGCTACTCTCAGGAATCTGAAGAATGTTTTCACAGGTTAAATAACACTGAATTCAAAATGCTTCCAAAGGTTACTGAAAGAATTGTTAGAACTAGCCACCCACTGCCAGGCATGGTGGCACATGCCTGTAATCCCAGCACTCAGGAGGCTTAATCAGCAGTACTGCTGTGAGTTCAAGACCAGCCTGGGCTACATAGCAAGACCATGTCTCAAAAATCAAAACAAACAAACAAAAAGAACCAGCTACCCACTATGAGCAGGTGTGGTAGCACATGCCTGTAATCTGCCTGTAACTCTGGAGGCTGAGGCAGGAGAACTGGCAAGCGTTCAAGGCCAACCTGGGCTACATAAGTGAGTTCAAAGCCAGTCTGAAATACATACTGAGACTGTCTTACTCAAAACTAAGTAATAAAGAATTAGCCACCAATAGGACCAGTGATCACCAAAGATTCTGGGACTCCTACATTTCACTTGTGTTCTAGGTTTTCCTAGACCACTAACCAAAACAGCTACCTCTCAGTACATTACCTAGGGATCCAAGACAAGACTTGGGATTCCTAACCGCCCTACAGTAGCCCACTGTAAACCCATAAGCTAACTCTGCTCTTTGTTCACATTTTAAAAAAAAGTGATGATATGCAGCTCAATATACGCAGGAAGTGTGTTCTAATTTGCACTTATTTTCCAGAAGTACACTTCAGGAAGAAATGGGATGCTCAGAGTTGAGGTGGTCAGATTTTTGATGAGTGAAGTTCTCCAGTGGAGGGAATTTCTTCAGTTTACAATACTCAAACTTTTACAAATAGAGAAAAAAAAAATTAAGTCATGTATCTGATGAACATTAAAGGATTAAAACAGTGCCTGCAAATAGATTAATAATGAAACACTACACAACAAAAATGAACAAAACATAATCATAATGCAGGTACATTTCACATACACAAGCCAAACACAAAAGAATGTATACTGTATGTTTCTACAACTACAAAGTTCAAAACAGGTACCGCTACAGGTTAACACCAGTCTATAGTATTATGAGTCAAGACTGATCATCTTTGCAGAAGGGACACTGGTCATGTTTTCTCATGCTCTGAGTACTAGTTACCCAGGGCATTCATAAAAGTTCATCACTAGTGATTTATGCATAATTTTTATATAAATATTGAACTTAAACTGTATGGTAAAAAGGTATCCTCAGGTGAAGTGTATGGTATGGTATGTCAGCTGTATTTTAATAAACCTGTCTTATTTTGTTTTTTTCCTCTTTGCAGTTCTGGGGAGTAAATCTAGGGACCTGGCACTGAACTATATCCCTTGACCTTTTTTATATTTTTTACTTTCAGACAGGATCTTGCTAAGTCTTAAATTACCCAAGCTGTGCTGGAACTTGCAGTCTCCTGCGTCAGCCTCCCAGAGTGCTGGGATTACAGGCTTGTGTCACCACACCCAGCCAATAAATCTGTTTTTGTCTTATTTTTTAAAGAGCATCTATGGTCTGGGGATGTAGCTCAGGGATGGAGTATTTGCCTACTACTGTATGTGTGAGCCCCTGGGTTCAGTCCCTAATAATACAAAGCAAAACAAAAGGGTATCTACAATCATTAAAATTACCCATTTGGCTGGGCATGATGGCACACACCTGTAATTGCAGCACTTGGGAGGCTGAAGCATGATGATTACCATTGAGTTCGAGCCCAGGTTTGGACTACATAGTGCGTTCAAGGCCAACCTGAACTGCATGATGAAGGTGGGCACCCGTAATCCCACCTCTCAGTAGGCTGAGGCAAAAGGATTGCTATAAATTCAAGGAACCCTGGACTACACATGAGTTCAAGACCGGCCTGGACTACACAGGAAGACACTACCTCAGAAAACCATAATGAATAAAATAACCTACTCATGTTAAGCTTGCCACTGACAGGGTGATATTTAGTGTGCTCACTACAGTTTATTGGACGTTTTATAGCTCAAAGTCAACCTGTAAGGATTACAGCAGACCAGAACCAGCAAAAAGCATACGCCCATACCAATAAAATACCTTCTTCTAGGGCCGGGGATGTAGCTCTGCAGCACAAGCACCTGCCTGGCAAGCACAAGGTCCTGAGTTTGATTCCCCATACCACAAAAAAAAAAAAAAAAACCTTCTTCCTCAGCACATTATTTCTACATACCTGTCTGATTATAAATGAAGATTTTCAGCGTTTCCAGTGTTCGATCTGTATGATTAAATCTAGCCATTGGTTTAGCTCCTTGAAATAACAAGATGTTAGGAACAGCTACAGTACCAAACCTGGTGGAAAGGCTGTAAAGGAAGGAAGTCAGTTAGAAGACCTGGATTAACAACACGCTCACAAGATTACCGTGTCAAAATGGCTAGAAATACACGAGAAGCAGTCAGCTTCAAATGACCTAAGGAGGTTTCTGATATTTAAACTTTAGAATTAATTTATTCCTGACCTCTTTCCTTGTGGGTCAGGGTTGGGGCACTTCTCTTCTGCAATCTAAGTTGCTTTCTGTCAGCAGATGGATCTATGCATGACCCAGTTATTCCACTAAATTCTGAACTTTCTAAACAGATCAGACTAGAAAATTCTAACTCGGGGAAAAAGCTCACTATGTCAATTTACTTGACGAAACAAATTTCAAATTCTTTAGAATGCCCATCCCTTTCCCTCAAAAAAGATAAACATATAATAAGCATTTAGCTTCATAAATTGGTACAAGGGGATGTATGACCTAACAAATGTACCAGTAAGTTCACAATTAGGGCAGGAAGACTTGAACATAATCTAACCGGTGGGGGACTTTTTTGCCATTTCATAATACAGATCAATCCAGGTTTTAACCTCAGTACAGCCACTGAACCAGCTGTGACCTTTGGGGAGATTATTTAACCTACTTAAGCCTCAGTTTTCCCCACAGTAAAATAGTAATATTGGATAATCAGGAGTTTTTTCTTTTATAAACATGCTGCACCTCGATATTAACATAGTAGACAGACACATGTCCCAGTCCGTGTAATAAGAACAAGCGTCCCAGTCTCTCTGTAAGTAAGGCAGCGTACCAGGCTCTCCATAACATAACAAAGCCTATGCTAAAACCTGTGAGTAGGGAGCAACATGACTGCCAGACCTGAGATCAAAGATCAGCTACGCATGGGTCAGTGGGGGACCAGTCAAAGCTGGACATTGACCTGCAGGCCACTTAGGTGTTTCCCTGAAATCCGTATGAGAATTACTAACTTGTTGGAAAGTTTCCTCATGACAGTTTCAGGTAAGCATTGGTGGTTATATTCCCACACTGAAAAAAAACCAGTGGAGTACAAATTTATAGTTTACTCAACTTCAGTTCACCACCAACTTGACCATCTTCCCAGCCTTCTAGATTGATTCACAGCTTCTCGTGACCCGCTGGGGAGCATTTGAGAAGAACTGGGAACATAGTCTGCAGGCACGACCAGGGGAATGTAGAAAATTAAGGGGCTTCCAGAAAGTGACATCACAGTTCCCTCAGGAGTTTGACAACAGCCACTGTTCACTCTTGCCTTCCCTGCCTTCTTTCTGCCTACTTCAGAGCTCCTGCCCACCTCCTCTGCTTCTCATTTAACTTGTTATGACTTCCACATAACTGCAGCCATCAGCCAAGAGGATGACACACAGACACCCCGCCAAGATACCTGCTGTGCTGAGATGCATCCAGAGCCAAAAAATGAAGAGCTGGAAATGCCCGGGGCAGCGAGTTAAAATGAGGGGCCAAACTGGCAGAAAATCGGCACCAGGGGGTGTAGAACAGGACCAGGGTACAGTCACTACCGTTTGGGTTTAGGAAATCCATAAGGTCCTATGGTAAAAGAAATAAGTGTTAGCCAGGCATGGTGGTGCATGCATGTAATCCCAGTGCTTGGGAGGCTGAGGCAGGAGGACTGTCATGAGTTTGAGGCCAGCCTGGGCTACACACAGAGACCTTGTCTCAAAAAAAAGAAATGCAGGTTGAAGTTGGTAGAAAAGCACATGCACATGTTTCTGTAAGGATACCCAAGAGAAAGGAAAGCCTGCTGTACCAGCCAGAGGAGCAAACTGCAATTAAGGCGGGTAAAAGAGAGCTACGACCCTCTCAGATTTTTTTTTAAGATAAGGTCTTGTTATGTAGTTCAGGCTGGCCTTGAACTCACTATGTAGCCCAGGCTGGCCTCCAACTCACAATGATCCTCCTGAGCGCTGAGATTATAGGTGTGGGACACGCCCAGCAAGACCTTTTCAGATTTTGACCATATAGATACATAAATCAGCAGGAAAAAAAAATTATAAATAAATAAATCCGCAGAAAAGTACTACCAAATGACAAGGCATAGACTTTACACCAGCGATAGTGAACCTTTTAGAGCTTTCAATGAACAGCAGGCTGCAGCATGTATGCTATAGGTGCGCCTCCTCTGTGGTAGGCTTTCCTAATTCTACAAGGCTATTTTAGTATGTTTTCATATCCCATCAATTCAAATACTAGATACCCACATGGTGTAGGCCACTGTACCTTGAATTGTACATCTCAAAATTTAAATGTGTCCCAAAGAATCATGTGTTGGAGGCTCTGTTTGTAGCCTAGGGCACTAGTGGGAGATGGTGGAGCCAGTAGGAGGTGAGGCCTAGCAGCAGGACTTAGGTCACTGGTGCCCTTCAAAGGGATTGTGGGACCCATCTCACTGCTTCCAGGACTTCATGAGGTGGGATCTTCCTCTACTACGCATTCCCACCATGATGTGCTGCATTAACACTACCCAAAAGCAACAGGGCCAACCAGAAGTGGATTAAAATCTCCCAAACTGTGAGTCAAAATAAAGCTTTTCCTTTCTTAAGTTGATTCTCTCAGGTATTTTGTTACAGTAATAGCTGACTAATGCATCAAACAATCTCAAATGGCACTAGGATCTCAGACCCAAGCTAGCATGGCTGGGTCAGTACATGTGATCCGCCATTGTGGTGGCACACACCTATAATCCTAGCACTCTGTAGGCCGAGGCAGTAGGATTGCTGTGAGTGTGAGGCCAACTGCAACTACACAGTGAGTTTACAGCTAGCATGAACTCCACAGCAAGACCGTGTCTCAAAAAAAAAAAAAACAGTGGCAAAATATGTATATAAGGGCCAGGGATATAGCTCAGCAACACAACACCTGCCTGGCAAGGGCAAGGTCCGAGTTCAATTCCTGGTACTAAAAAAAAACAAAACAAATTCTCTCTCTCTCTCTTGCTATATATCTATCTATATATATATAGATATACAGATTTATAGATATATATCTATATATCTATCTCCAGGTGTGGTGGCACACACCTGAAATGTCAGCACTCAGGAAGCTGAGGCAGGAGGATTGCCATGTATTCAAGACCAGCTCTGAACTACATAGCATGACCCTATCTCCAAAATAATTTATATATATACCCAAAGGTTGCCACCAGTTATTTACTCAGACTGTCCCCATCACGGACGTGACACAGTAACCACTGGCAATCAGGGCGGATGTGAGCCAGGCTGACCCCTGCCCTGGAGTAGCTCTGGGCACTATACAGCGGTGCTCTCTCTAACCATAAGCAGTCACAGCCTGGGATTGAATTGTTTCAGGCCTGGGATTTACTTCTCTCAAAAACAGGCTGACTTCATCCTGTTCTTTCGGTTTTTTTGAAACATTCTACCGAAATTGCTAGTCGTTATTCCAGAATTCCCTTGAATCATTTATGCAGCTATCTGGAAAAGTATGGCTGGGTTTGGAACATGGTTTGAGCCCTCAGCCCAGAACAAACACTGGACACATATTTTAAGGGAAATTTTCCATTAACATAACATATTCTCCACATAATGCTAAATTACAATTTTAGTAGTTCTGGTTCAGTTCGGTTCAGTTCTGTTTTGAGATAGGGTCTTGCTTCGTTGCCCAAACTGGTCTTGAAATCTTAGGCTTAAGCAATCCTCCTGCCTCAGCTTCCAGAGTAGCTGAAGTAATAGGTGTGAGCCACAGCACCCAACTATAATTCACTTTTTTTCCTCAGAGGGGGGATTGAACCCCGGACCTGCATACTAAGCTACCTTCCTGGCCCTTTTCTAGTTTTGGGTTTTTTTGTTTTGTTTTTGTTTTTGTTTTTGTTTTTTGAGACAGGGTCTTGCTCTGCAGTCTGGGCTATCCTTGAACTCACTATGAGCCCAGGCTGGCCTCCAACTCTGGGCAATCCTCCTGCCTCAGTTTCCTGAGCGCTGCGATTACAGGCATATACCACTATGCCCGAATCAACTGAGGTATTTCTGTGTTGCCTCTGTCATAAATACTTCCTCTGAAAGAAGAAGCCAGCCATGGGAGCTGAGGTAGGAGGATCACCAGTTCAAGCCCAGCCTGGGCAGTTTGGTGACTCAGCAAGACCTTGTCTCAAAAATTTAAAGGGCTGGGGATGCAGCTTAGCGTGAAGGCCCTGGGTTCCATACCCAGTGAAGACAGTTGAGGAGGTGGAGGAACAGGAAGAGGAGGAAGGGGAAGTAAAGGAGGAAGAGGAAAAAGAGGAGGAAGAGGAAAACGAATTGTTTTGTTTTCCTGTCCTGTGCCCTGGGATTTCTACCATGAGGCTTGGTGCTCATATCACCCCAGGTATGATTAGCTCCTGGCCGCCTAAAAAGTGTGACTGGCACCAGTTGTACTTCTTTCTTTTCCTACAGACGTCACCGGGAGCGAAGTCACTTTTCATTCAAGAGCTATTCAGCGCTGTCCCCACTTAAGACATGGTGAGGACGATGACCTTCCACCTGAAAGTGTATGAAATCATAGGGTTAACACGCTGACAAGGAGAAATGTACTGGGTCCCCTTTTCTTACCTGGGACATATTTAAAATTTTCAGAGTGAAGTTCTCCAGCGCCGTCACATTCCTCTCCTCACAGTTCACCTTCGGGGACTTGAGGCTCTCGGTGTTGTTGGAGTCCTCCGCCGGGGAGGGGTCGGCCGCGTCCGCCTCCGCTTCCGGCTCGGGGTCGTCGTCCTCCTCTCGGTCCGCGAAGGCCGGCCCCGCGCTGGCCCGGGAGAGGAGGCTGTCGCGGACACTGCACCCCGCGTCCTCCTCTCCTGCAGCAGCGCACGTGCCGCTGCTGGGCTCTGAGCTCCGTCTGTCCTCGGCTTCTCCGGGTATCACAGACAGCACCACCATGGGGTCCCCGGGAGTGCCCCGCCCCTGCGCAGCGTCAGCCTCTTCTGCCGCCCTCTCCCGGCGGCCGCGGCTGCTTGGATCCCACGGGGTCGCCTCCTCATCCAGGGACGCGGTCCCCTCCTGGAGAGGCGGGGCAGGCTGCTCCTCCGGCCGTAAATGCCCACAGTCCTCTGCAACTGAAACATCCCAGCTTAATCAGTCGTGTGTGACTTCAATGCACGCGAACCCCAAGGAGTCAGAGTTCTCAAAGATGACATTTTCCAGCCGGGCATGGTGGCCCACACCTGTAATCCAGAACTCTGGGAGGCTGAGGCAGGGGGGTTGCAAGCTGAAGCTCAGCCTGGGCAGTTTAAGAGATTTAGCGAGACCCTACTTCAAAATAAAAAAAATTAAAAAAAAAAAAATAACTGGGTATGTAGCTCAGGGCAAAGGCCTTGGGTTTAATCCTCAGGACTGAGACTGTCTCCTGTGGAGACATCACCCTTTCCATTAAACTGTATGAGGGCCACGCACCATTCTCCAGGTGAAGGAGGTCACAAAGGGATACTAGACTAACGGGTACCAGATAAATAAATGGACAAACACACAGCCCCAAACCCGTTGCTTGCCATGCAGATCACAATTAAAACCAATTCAATGCTGACATCCAATTAAGTAAAGAAATATATATATATAAACACTTCAATATTTTCATTTGTTTGATAAGAACAACCCAAAAATCAGAATAGTTTTATGCAAAATCTGCTATAGCAAAACAACTTTGTATAATCATGACAGCTCTGTGAGATCAAGACAAGGGTTATCAAGTCCATTTACTAGAGGACCAAGCAGAGGCACAGAGAAGTTCAGTATACTGTCTGATAACACACAGCTAGTAAGCAGCAGAGCCAGGTCTAAGAAGTAAGGCTCTGGCTGATACTCCAAAATGAGCCCCTAAGGGGCTGGGGATTTAGCTTAGCAGCACAGCGCCTGCCTGGCAAGGGCAAGGTCCTGTGTTCGATTCCCGATACCGGGGGAGGCGGGGAATGAGCCTTTAATCCCAGCACTCAGGAGGCTGAGGCAGGAGGATCGTTGCGAGTTTGAGACCAGCCTGGGCTACAAAATGAGCTCAAGGCCAGCCTGAACTGCATGAGGGGAGACCCTGCCTCAAAAAGTCAAAAAGACAAATAAAAAAAATAAAATAAAATAAATGAGCCCTACCCCTCCCACCATGATTCCTTGGGGATGCTGGGCCGCTGTGCCTGAGAAACAGTGGGAGAGCCATAATGTGAGTAGCTCCTTCCTGAGGTGCCCTCGGACAGCTGGACTCTTGCCCTCCTGCCTAGCAGCCTTGGGCTGCTGCCCTGGGGAATGCTAAGAAATTGGCCTAGCAGTGAAGCCACAGCAGCAGGAGGAAGGAGAGGAGGATTTTCCTCCCACTTTGGAGCCACAAGCTAGGTCCTGGGCAAATGTTCACATAAGAGAAAAGTCCTAGGCAGTCTTGTATGCCAAGGTAGCAACCATCAACCTTTGCAGTGTGACTCCGACCTCAGCCCTCATAGGCGCAACACCAGCTGCCAGACTCTGCCAGGCACTGACCACGGGCAACAAATGAGGCTGGCTGCCTCAGGGAAGCTCGCCATGTGGGTGGGGAATCGTCAACATGTGACAAGCCCTGCATGTAAGTGAAAAATATTTATAAAAAAACAGTAGCCAAAAGTTTTCCAAGGTTGATGAAAACTATATATCCACAGATCCAAGAAGCTAAACTACACCATGGAATATGATAAATTGCTCAAACCAGTAACAAAATCTTAAAAGCAGCCAAAAAAAAAAAAAAAAACATTATATACAGAGAAAGATAAGGATGATATCAAATTCCTCACTGGAAACAATACAAACAAGAACAGCATTTTTTTTAAGTAATGAAAGAAAAACAAACCCCCATAAATCTAGAATTTTATACCCAGCAAATATATCTTCTAAAAACAAAGATGAAGCCGGGCATGGCAGTACATGCCTGTCATACCCGCACTCTGGGACGCTGAGGCAGAAGGAGCACGCATTTTAGGTCAGTGTGGGCAACTTAGTGACTAAGTAAGAACCTGTCTCAAAAAATGAAAAAAAAAAGGCTGGCGCTATAGCTCAGTGTGATGGTCCTGGATTCAATCCCCAGTACCCCACCCAAAACACACACAATGAAAAAAATACTTAAGACATACAAAAGCTGAAAGAATTCACCACCAGTACACCCACGTCAAAATCTACCCCCTCCTTTTATTCCTCCTCCCCTCCCTCCCCCTCCTCTTCATCTTCATCTTCATCTTCATCTTCTTTGTGCATATTAGGCACTCTATCACTATAGCACTCTACTACTGAGCGGCAACCCCAGACTGACAGAAATCTTAAAGGTTAACTCCTTCAAGCAGAAGAGAAATGATATCAGGTGGAAATAGGTATCCACCTAAAGGAATAAAGACTACCAGAAATATAACTACATGGATAAACATAACACAGTTCTTTCCAAAAGTTTTGCTATAAAGGAGACAAGTTGAATAAGGTAGTTGCTATAGTCAAACAAGAAGGACCTAAGAACAATTTGAGAATATACAAAGCTGACAGGGAGGCAGTTCAGGGCTTGGGCAGCAAAGTGCTCTGATGAGTCAAGCACTCCTTGACTACAATACAGAGAAGGGGCTGCATGGCAGGGCAAGGAGCTTCGGCAATTTGGTGAGGCAAGGATTACATTGGCAGTCTTTCTGCACCCTCTGGTTGATAAGTATGCACTGCTTGTATAATCAGCACAATAAACAAGCAGGTTGGCTGTGTCATTCACAAGACAGAGCTGGAAAAGAAGCCGGAGAGCTAAGAATCTAGGAACGAAGGAAGAGGGCCAGGTTCTGGGGCCAATCTCACACCCAAACAAGGCTCTGTGTGATCCACCTCTGCTAACCTAATCAGTGTTCTAGGTCCCATAAACAAATGTAGAATACTTGAGTTGGGGCTGTAGCTCAGTGATAGAGCTCTTGCTAGCATGTGAGACCCTGGATTTGATTTCCAGTGCCAGACACACGTACACACTCACACACATATACACACTCTTTCTCTCCCACACACGTACACACACACACACTCTCTCTCTCTTTCTCTCTCTCAAACACACCACACACACACACAAAAGCTAGAACACTGAACACTGAAAAACTGAAAAATCAGGGCATACAAATGTCCATCAACCGGTAAATGGAGAACGAGAATATGGTTCTTTTACACAATGGAGTACTACTCAACCATAAAGAAGGATAATCTTGACACATTTCTAGGTAAATGGATGCACTTGAGAACATAGTCTTAAGTGAAACAAATCAGACACGCATGTCTAAATACCACACAGTTTCACTGACGTGAGAAACCAAAAGTGCAAATAAGAACCAACATGTTTAATAGGTATTGTGAAATAAGAAGAAAATGTTCAAATGGAAAGGGGAACTAGGGAGGGGAGAGGGGAAAGGAAGGAAGGGAAAAGAAAAAAAGAAAAGGAAAAATGCAAACAAAGCTTTTGTAAACAGGAAGAGGGTTGAAGGGAGGGGAGGGGGGATGGGAAGAAGCAATCAAGATGTATCATGTACAGGTACAAGTGCCCTATGATGAATGTGATCACTATGTATACCTAAAATGTACCAATAAACTTAATTTTAAAAATCAGGACATAATGCCAGGCTGAGAAGGCTGGGATTATAGGCATGGTAGCACATGCCTATAATCCCAGCACTTGGGAGGAAAACGGAGGAGGGTCATTGCAAGTTCAAGGACAGCCTAGGCTACAAAGTGAGTTCAAGACCAGCCTGAACTGCACAGTGAGACCTTGTCTCAAAAAGACGAAAAAAAAAAAAAATCAGGGCACAAACTGGGGGTGTAGCTCAGTGAGTGGCATAAGCGCCTGCCTGGCAAGTGCAAGGTTCTGAGTTCGATTCCTGGTACCAAAAAAAGACGAAGATAACGGGAAAAATCAGGGCACAATTTAGAATCTGGTTGCCTTTGATCACCCCCAGATAGATATTCCCTGCAGAGGGGCTGGGGATTTAGCTCAGCGGCAAAGCGCCTGCCTAGCAAGTGCAAGGTCGTGAGTTCGGTTCCCGGTACCGGAGAAAAACTAAAAAAAAAAAAAAAAAAAAGATATTCCCTGCAGAAAAGCAGAAAGGAGTCCCAGTGCAGGGTACAGAGCTGGTAGAACTGGTATTTGAAATTCTGGAGTACCAGTGTTGTGTCTCCCCTCCCTGGTAAAGATATTTATGTACACAGTACAGACTGGGAACAAAAACACTCTTATTCCTTCAGACACCAATGTTTTCACTTAGATGTTAGGCAGAAAAGAAACAATAAATTATTCTAAACTAAAATAAAAAATGGCACACTGTGTGAGCCAAGCATACAGTGAAAGCTGTTACATCACTGGCTGCAAGGACATTGTCTGGAAAACAAGAACGTGACCCTCTGCCTCCCCTGCCGGGGAGCCGTAGCATCAGTCGGCCGGCGCCTTCCCACTCGTCCAGCCTTCTCAGCATGCTCTCAACCGTCTCCGGGTTTTTTCACAATGGCCTCTGTGGCAGGAAAGTCAGTGGGGTAAGGTCCAAAGCCAGAGGTCAGAGGGACAGCAACCCATACTTCCCAAAGGCAGTACTCTGTGCTTATCTAATAAGTGGGGGGGGGGGGGGGGGGGACATGCCAAAATGCAGACAATTCCAGAGTTACCATGAAGTGAAGTGAGAAAAGGTATGGTGTGGTCTCTAGAACACAATAAGCACTCAATAAATGGCTGCAGTGATGATGGTAGTAGTCATGGTGAAAATGGGTATTTACAGTTCAAACAGCTGGAAAGTCACCGTAACCAAGTTAATTAACTCCCCTGGCAATTCCATTCAGTATCCACCCACCTTCTCCCAGCTCCAGCCCAGGCCATAGCTATCTTACACCTGTACAATTACTGCGCCACCCTAAGCAGTTGCCCTGGTCAGCCCCCATCTGCCTCCAGACCCTGCTCATCATAGCAGCCCAAGTGGAACTGAAAGTTAAGGGGTAAATCTTACGTCTCTTCGCTGCTAAAACCCTTTCAATGACTTCCCTTGCCCTGTGAATGAATCAGCATCTGTAGCATGCTTGCCAGGCCTTGTGCCGGTCCCGGTCACTTACT